TCAGTCCACACTCAGTTCTCCGAAATCAAATAACGAAAGTAGTTTACTTCGGCGATAGTTTCAACGGAAGTATCTGAGCAAGGAACGCATTCACGCTCTATCTTTTACAAAAACTTGCATCATTATTAATAATTTGCTTTAAAAGTAAAATCAAATGGGCTGTCGGACTGGCTCGTTGGCTTGTCGATCCCTGTGTAGTCCAGTCTTACAACAGGGTCATGTGAAATCGGGGATACTGGTTTGTTGAGATGTCGGACCTGAGGGGTTAATGCATGGCGGAACTTTCCAGTACTACGCAGTCTCGCAAAATTTCGAGGAAGTGGAAGTCCGACGCTCCTGAATAAAATCTCTTTGCAGATATTAGCCACATTTTCTGTTAGATTCACTCGACGTAGGACATCGATCGGCAAATCTTCGCGCGGCAGCCCATGCTGTAGCGTTTGACGCCGCATTTAAATGACTTTTCTTCGGATCAGCGATCATTGCACAGTAAAAGTGTTGTATTGCTTCAAACTAGATTGATCGTGTAGCAATATCTACTGTGTTTATAGTCATTGTTAAGAGGCCACGCCCTTATCCTACATCCGTCAACTTGCAGAATGTAACAGCGAACAGTACCACCTAAGGTGACGCTAGCAAGTCCAAACCTTTGCAGTGTCCTACAGATGGGGAGCACCCAAGTCACTTGCCAGGACCTTTTTCAGTCCCCGAACACGGTCTTCAGGAATGCTCCTAGGGTATTAGCTTTCCCAAGTCGAATCCTTTTCAACAACGGTAGGAATACCAAAAGAAGGATGGCATACATAAGTGTTCACAAGTAACTGGCATTGACGGGGTCCTTTAGAAATCAATGTCCTCTACGCACTTCTGAGATGACAGTTCGACCATCGGTTTCGATGATGTCCACCGTGTGCCCCACAGTTGCAGCAGCAACGGGAGCAGGGACGGTGACTTACGCAGGGGTTTATAGTGCCGGTAGACTTGCGTAGCATCTACCTACACTCTCTCCTCCTCCCTCGCCCGAGCCCGGTGTCAAGACAGAGTCAAGAAGACCGGAGACGAGAGAGGCCGCAGGTGGATGGCTCGGACGGATCCTCACCTTGGCGTTCCACCACACCCCCTGGCCCACACAACAAATAACCAGGATTTCAACCAACACAAGAGGGATTTGGAGGCTGGCACGACCGAAGCCGCACCTGGGCGTGCCGCCAACGCCTGGCTCGGATCCCACACTGTGATGGGAGTGCCATAAAGGCCACAATAAAAAGGAGCCACTGCAGCCTGACTCTCAGGCCGCCTCCGGTCAAGGAGGAGGTCCAAGTTACCGCGTCAGTTGGCAACCTTCCAAGCCACGGCTTTTAGCGCACCGTGATAGCTTCAAGCGCGTCAGATTGTTTATAGTGAGGAGAAAGTGCGCTGAGTCGTCGACCTCACTCTCCCTTCCCACTCCCACACCCCAGCCGCTGTC